CATTTTCTTCGCACTTACAGCATACACAATCCAACAGTAAAATTACAAAAATTTTAAAGCAGCATAGCAGTATACATTTAGAATTCCCGGTGCAGCACTCAATGCTAGCATACATTTTTCTGTTTTTTTTATTTGTCTTTTGGTTCCTTGCTTGTCCTGGTGGGATGCCTGTTTGTCCCGCTTTTCTACAAAACAGACTCTTAACGTCAATTAACTTGAATTGGGTGCCATGGCGCATTGGTGACGCCTTGATGAGCTATGATGTTCGATGACCTATGATGTCATCACTCAGAAACATGGGCGGCGATTGAATTGGTGGCTAAGGTACAGAAACAGCTGTGCATGCGCGAAATATCTGTCGCCAAAACTCCAAGCTGGCGTCGAAGTTTGGTCGTCACATTTATCAAGAGTCCATAAAACGAATATCGTTTTAAATTTCTTTAAACATTAAAGGAAAAGAAAATCTTTTTGGGTGCAAGTTAATTAATTAATGGATTAGTTATTTTTAACCAAAAAAAGTGCAAAAATTCGAGTTTAAATTATCACAAAAAGTCAAAGAAAAGTTTTGTCGTAGAACGTTTCTTCTTAACACCATGTTCCTCAATTTCCTGTACACATCACGGAGGGGGAAATTCTCGCCACCAGGTTCCGTTGCCAAATCCCTTGGTGAATTTTCCCTCCACTTTCCAGAGATGTAATAGCAAATTGGTTTATATTACATTCTATGGAATATTTTTCTTCTTTACACAGATGTTCTTTGGCTAAGGTGGTTTGTGAGCGAGATTCTCGTGTTTCGGTGGTTATTTATTTTTTTCTTATGTGAGTAACATTACCCGGGTCTCCACTGAGCATCATTCATGCCAAAACGAAATTCGAAATTCAATGAGGAATTACTAGGTGAATTTCCATTCATAAAGAAGGTTAGAAGCAACACCAATAGTGACGTGCGTTGCGACAGATGTGGATCACATTTCTCCGTTGCTCACAGCGGGTGTGGAGATATATTGAAGCATTTGAATACGGATCATCACAAAAACGCCCTCAAATAGTCACCATTGTCAGGTACAATTACAAACTATTTTTTAAGATTTTAGTTAGGAGAAAAGGAAGCTCGGTTGGCTGCTACAGAAGGTACCTTTGCGTACCACACGATTTATCACAATCACAGCTTTAGGTCGATGGACTGTACTTCCAATTAATGCAAAAGTATTTTAAATTCACTTGCACACGAACAAAATATGAAGCCACTGTCACTAATGTACTTTGCCCATATGTAATGAACCGTGTCAAAGCAGAATTAAATGCCGTGAATTTTGTGACAGTGTCTACAAACACGTCGAACCATAAGAATGTCAAGCTATTTCCTGTGATAGTGAGATATTTTGTGCCACTGTCAGGTGTAGTGATGGGCAAATTCGGTACTTTCTTGTACCTGGTATGAGAGTAACGGGTACAGACAAGTACCCAGTACAAAATACCCGTTACTCAAGTAACCGTTACTTTGAAAAGTACCGAAAACCGATTTCAAGTACCGAGTACCCAAGTAATGATTTGGAGTAACGAAGTAACGAAATACCGGAGTACCAAAGTACCCTAGTAACGATTTGGAGTACCGAAGTGCCCTAGTAACGATTTGGAGTACCGAAATACGCAGCTAACGATTTTGGGCACTGAAGGAACTCTGCCACGTCACCCACGTGTTTGATTTTATCTGTATGGAGTAAGATTTTGAATATCAGAAAACATGTCAACTACGCAAGTGTCTGAGGAGCAGGCACGCATATCACCATTTCGTTAATACAACCAGATACTACTGTCCTCGTACCAAAACTGAAGTGAGCTGAACCCTCATCGATCCTCCAGTAACGAATACCGAAATACCGAGAAGAGACGCATATTTTCGTTACAAAGTAGGGAATACCGAACAGCATCCATTTCGGTACAGAAGTAACGAATACCGAAAAGTACCCGTTTCGGTACAGAAGTAACGAATACCGAAAAGCATCCATTTCGGTACAGAAGTAACGAATACTGAAAAGCTCTGTTTCGGTACAGAAGTAACGAATACCGAAAAGTGCCCGTTTCGGTACAGAAGTAACGAATATCGAAAAGTACCGATTTGGGTACTGAGGTAACGGGTACTTGGACGTACCGATTTTCAGTACCCGTTACAACTAAGTACCCATTACAAAATACCCGGTTCGGTAGTACTGACTCATCACTAGTCAGGTGTGAAAGTTAAAATTCTGGACAAATTTATGTGGAAGCAGTTATTATGAAAATTTATTATTTTTTCCGCATCTACACTGTTCGTGTTGAGTCATTCAAAGAATTTTGCTACTTTGCCTCTATAGCATACCAGCGCATTTTAGGATATGGGAAAACCAGATGGTTATCACTGATGCCTGCAGCAGTAGGGAGAGTTTTAAAATTGTTTTCTGCACTGAAATCCTATTTCTTGTCAGAAGGGAAGTGCTCCACCCTAATCAGCAACTTTTTTTAGAATCCCTGTGCTGAATTGTGGCTCTACTTCATACATAATATCGCTGCGGTGTTTCAAGTGGCAATTCTGCACATAGAAGTAGAGACTATTACAGCATTGGAAGTATCTTCGGAATTGGATGATTTAATACCTAAATGCACTGAGAGAAGCGCAAAAAACTTTTTGCCAAATGAAATATGTATGCTGATTACTCAGTTAGAAGAGGAAGGATTGGCGAGAAAAAATGACATTATAAGAACCATTGTAAATTTTTACGACAACTGTGCTGGATATCTGAAAGAGAGGGTTGAGCAATTCGAATATCTAAATGCATTTAGTTGGCTTGCGTTAAAGGAACCACCGTCATGGGAAAAAGTACAAGAGAGCATGAACTTTCTGGGTGGAAGCTTCCGAAGGTTGACAACAATGATGATGAGTTATTTGACAAAGTAAGCTACATTAGGCGATTTATTTCACCACAAAAGATTGGGCTGAAAGTTCTCTTCATTTCGAGGATAAAAACGTGCTAGGTGCGCAAATCCAGAAAATTATAGAGTTTATATTGTGTCTTCTAGGAACAAATGCCGCCAGTGAATTTCTCATCTATGAATATCATATGGACAACTGAAAAGACACAGTTAAAACTGGAAATACAACAATGTTAATGGTGAAGTGCAATTTTGAGTTTGATAGTTCCAGTAGTTCCTGTGATGAAGTCTATGAAAGACTTCTACAAGAGCCAAAACTTCTTAGAAGTATTCATTCATCAATGAAATACGTCTACGGAGTACCAACACAGGATGATCCTTCTAGGTCAGCGGCTGATCAGGAAGGTCCATTGTCCGCATCAAATTAATACATTTGCGGCGTCATGTGCTGGATCGACACATTCAAGCAACAATTTTTATTTTCTGATTGCTTTTTTTTTATTCTTTGTTCGCTCTTACTCTTACTGAAAGCACATCTGAGTTGTCTTAGTCCAGATCCCAAAGTCCGTGATTGTTGATTTAATAATTGATTCAGTATGAGATATAGATAAATTCCATTTTTTCTTTCAATAGAAGACTCTAACACACACGATAATTCTTTACAGGACAATGTGACTTCACTAAAAATTTTGCACTCCGCATTTTCACCTTCACAGGGGGCTTCCGCCCTCTCCCACCCTCCTCCACCACTTAAGTTTGGATCCCTGCATCCCACTTTGCCCTCCAGAAAATCTGGTCACCTTATTATTAATGTTTTATGTGTTTACTTTATTTATTAAATATCCCATTCTTGGTGCTTACACCACATAAAATTTGATTCAACAGCAAAATCACCAAATATTTAAAAACAGCATATATTTAGAATTTTCGACAAACAGTCTTGCACTGGGGATAATGTTTTATTCCATATAGTGTTGCCACTGCTCGCTTTGAAATCGTTAAGTTTGTTAATCAAAAATTAATTAAAAGTTTTACAAAATATCAAACAGATAATAAAATTAATTTAAAATTCAAAATTCAGGCTTCCAGGTGCTCACATTTGTTGAAGGACTAGGTTATTCAAAACTTGATAACTCTAGGTATTTTTGCTTTTTCACACTTCATACATTGATACAGACTCATCATTTAACTTCTTTAAATATAATACAGGGCAATATTATTTGGTGGCAACAATTGCAAAAGTGATACACCGTTTATAGTGATTCAATGCAAGATGCCGTTTTGAGGCAAATATCCCATATAGGTATAACGTTCATTTTTGGGCTAAATAAAACAACTTTAGTTAGGGATAGAGGGCCTGTTACTCAAAACAGGACCTAATCGCTTTCAAAAAAAAATATAGCAATTGAAAGCTATTATAAAATAAGGTTGTTTAATTTTTCAAATAGTTGACTAAAACAGAAACCAAACTACTTGATGGCTTAATTCCTTACTTGGAAACATTTCTTTATCATTTGGCAATTTTCATTATTTTGATATTATTTAGCAATTTAATCTTTTATTTGGCAACATTACTTCAGTTTGAAACAGATTTATTTTATACTTTGAACATATTAACCGAACTGTTGATAAAAAAAGTGATGTATTTTCCATGTTTTCTTATACATACAAGACTTCAGCAATTTGACAACAATATCCAAATGATAATACTAACCACTATCACGTAATCAGCATCTACTGTAAAACTCTTTTTGAAGTTATGAGATGTGAAAAAGAAAGATAAAAGCTCATCTCAGCATGGAACATTTATTATTCCTAAAATAATACCATATATCATACAAAAAATTTGAAAAAAAACTTAACTATAATTTCTTCTTACAGAGTTTATAGATTTAAAATAGAAAGAAAAATCAAAATGACCTCAGTTTTTAGTAAAAAAAAAAATCACGTTATCTATTAGTAATATTTTTATACTTATGCTTTAAACATTTTTCTAAACTTGTACTTCAAATTTTTCAAACATTTTAGTAACACAAAATTGGTCATTTGGAAAAAATAATAAAATTAGCATATAGTTCAATATTACTTACTGTTATCAAATATAGGATTGCTGATCACAGGCGACAGAGGAATGCTTAGTTTTCCATTAGCATCTGGTATAAAAACTTGGAAGCATAACCTTAAGGCATTAAGGTTGATTTTATTAGGTTCCAAATGGTGAGAAAAACCAGCTACAAAACACAAAATATTTTGGAACTACTTTAAAATATGTACAAAGTTAACAGGAAAAAAACTTTATTCATATTATATATTTAATTTTTTATCTCACATAGCCATCTTTCTTACATATTACAACGATTAAGATTTGAAGTGTGATTTATTTTTAAGAAAATTCTTTTCAAATAATAAAATAATGAATAATGCACAGCATTGCTGCCAGCTTGAAATAAATGATTACATTTTATCGAAAGTTGCCATAGTAACAATAAGCTATAAAGTATGAAATATAAAACAATTTCGTTTTATATTGCCTTGTGAAAATATGTTTTCTTTGTTATTTTCAACTTGTAAATAAATGAATATATTTCTAAATACTAAATGAGCCATAATATTGGAGACATTATCACCCACATACTTGCCAACCTATGACACTCAAAAATCAGGAGATTTTTTTAAGAAATCAGGAGATTTTTCACAATGTTAAAAAGACTTTTTAAGTGATAAAAATATAGTTTTTAATAATGAATTAACTTTTAATAGTAACTAATTCTTAAATGCAAGCAACACAAAAATACCTTACACATAAAAAACATTTTTATTACTTGCATCGTTTAAGGGGGGGGAAAAAAAGACACTTTAATTAGTTTTTGTACAAATGTTATAAACAGTGGCAGATTTTGCTTTCTTTAAGAAAGAAACTTCATAATTTTGTTCACAGCAATTGCCACGTAGGCCTGTTTTCACTAATAAAAGTTTTTCGAATGTGTCATCACTAATATTAGATCTAAATTTAGTCCTCGTTTTCGCAACAACACTGAGAATCCTCTCACACTCTGCATTACTATAGGGAACTGTCAAGATGGTAACACAATTCTAGACAGTTCACTATATTTTACAATTCCATCAGCACCTTTCACTTTTCCAATTAAACTCCACTGGGTGTCAATCCTAGCGGATTTTATAACTTCATCCAAGTTTTCTAATTGTAAACTGCTGTTATGCAGCTGTTACAATTAGAAAACTTGAATGAAGACTTGGATGGATTGTTTCAATTTTTCCTTCCTTTTAGAACTCCTTTCAAGATAATAATAAATATCAAATATGTGTTCATCCACATTTATTGGTAAAGAAGCTGCCCCCTTTTCAGCTGCTAAATTTAAGAGGTGACAGGTGCACCCTCATAATCTGCAAATCTGAATTTTCCTTTCTGAAGATGCCTGCAACACCAGTCTTCCAAGCCTACCAATACTGGTATATTATCGGCACCAAGTGCTAAGCAATTATCCAGAGGGCCTGCATTTTCTTTTAAAGTTTTAATAATTAGCTGTGCTATATTAAAGCCTGTCAAATGTCCTTCTAAAGTAGGAACATAAAGTAAACTGCACTCAATTTCTGAAGACTCTGGATCAAAAAAAGAAACAAAAATTGGATACAGTTTTGAATCGGCATTATTACTTCCATCCGTAGAGAGGCAGAAAGGAGCTGTTTTAATGCAATCAATAACTGAAGATTTATTTTTTAAACCCATTTCTTTAACAATTGATCCTGTTTTGATTCTTGCACCTTGAGTATTTTTTAGCGATTTCACTATCGGGAAACATTTTTCTAAATAAAGCTGCAGCGTGATCCGATGCATTCAGGGGCAGGATGTGCTCCAGTAAAAAAGCAGAGAACAGACATTCTGCATTAATAACTTTTTGGTTCTTTGTTTCCGAAGAAAAATTTAATTTTCCGTTTTTTTAAAAACAACTCATGTTATCCTTGTGTTATTGCGTACGTACATGTTTGAGAACATCCGCCCTTCCACCATGCGAAATCGAAAAATCGCAACGACGGGCTTTACACATCGCAAATTTATTACATTTCTTTGAGGAAATAATGGAAGGAAAGTCAACTGCGTACGATTTTTGAAACGTACACGAGTATTTCACTTTCTCGCAGATGTAACAAAAGATGATAATTTCTAAAACTATTTCCCTAAGGCACGTGTACTCACACAACTCTGGACAAAATGGTGTATTTAATTATGGCAAAGCACACGAGGGCTATCTGCCTAAAGGGAGGGATGCCTTTCGTGGAGGACTTTCTAAGGGAAACTGGCTCGTATACACGTTACACATGGGGAAAACCACGAAAACGCCCATGCAGCCAGCCCGTTCGCAGGATTCGAACCTCAGACCGAACTACCAGTGTTCAGCGTCTTTACCGCTCGGCCGCTGGTGGGCCTGGACAAAATGAAAGAAATAACTAAAGCACGTCCAAATAACAACTTGCTTTGTCTTCATTGGCTAATATATGCCAGCTGACACACAGTGGAGCTCGAAGCCCATTGGAGAACTGGAGAACGACGTTTCTGGATATGTATAATGCTCTCACTCACAAAGCAGAAGCTATCTGATTAGCAAGGTTTTGTTTTAGATATAATGTAGAATAATTCAATTGCTTTCAGACGTCCAAAAGCACTTTTTTTTTTTATTCATATAACAAAGTATTAAGCCAAGTTGCATAAAAGTAGTGAGAAATTTTAAGAATAAAAAAAAGTCAGGAGAAATATATTGTAAATCGGGTTGGCGGGAGAGCGGTCGAAAATCAGGAGTCTCCCGCTTAAATCGGGAGAGTTGGCAACTCTGCACCCATTAAAAAAAAAAATGCAATCATGCTACAATGTCACAGAAACTAACACTTCCCTCCCGTCTAAAAACATCTAAAATTTTGTTACCTCATCTATTTTCTACTATTATCTAAAAATTAAATACCTGTATAATGTATTTCTCCTGCCTTCTTAGCATGCCATCGTGGTGTGTAATGGCTAGCACACTCGGCGCGTATTCGAGAGGTCCGAGGTTTGAGTCCCGGCGGCACTTTTTTCATCTCTTCCATACCAAAAAAACCTTAATGTCTCTACAGTGGCACCCGAACTAAATAAAAAGGCGATGATGATGCTTTTTCACTGCCAGGATTTGGTGATTGGGTCCCCTAATCCCAGTTGCCCTTTAAAAGGGGTAGTATATAAGGTATTTCTTCCACCTTCTTAGCATGCCTTTGCGGTGTAATGGTCAGCACATTCGGCACGTATTTGAGAGGCCCGAGCTTTGAGTCCCGGCAAAGCACGACACATTTTTCATATCTCCCGCTTTGAAATAACCTAGTGTCTCTACAACTGAATCTTTAGCAATGTGCATAAAAAACCATCGAGTTTGGTAGCATTAAAAAAAAATTCTACACTTGCATATTATAAAATCATCTTAACAAAAATTGGCAAAGTTTCAAAATATGCCAAAATATAGTAACCATGTGCATAACCATTCTTTGGGCAACCCTGTGCATGACAATTCTTCATTTAAACAATCAATGTTGCCATATCCATATACAGATTTCTCTTTGTTGCATTCTAAATTCAATGGCTTTTATAGACATCAATATTCTTTATCTTAAATATGTTTGTGGGATTTGCCTACAATGGAAGGAACTGCAATAAGATTTCTTCAGGGTTACAGTATTTTGTTGCAAAATCAGAAAAAAGAAACAACTGCCTTAAATGTCTTCGTAAAGCAATCACCATGAAATTTCCAGCACAACAAAATAAATTATACTCTTCTGTTATTGGGACTGGATTTAGAAATGCAGGTATGCATGCATGTATGGGTGTATATGTTCATGTATGCATATATGCATATACACACACATGCATATATGCATACATACATATACACTTGGGGGGGGGGGTTTTTTTTTTTTTTTTTTTTTTTTTTTTTTTGTTTTTTTTTTGTTTTTTTTTTTTTTTTTTTTTTTTTTTTTTTTTTTTTTTTGTTTTTTTTTTTTTTTTTTTTTTTTATTTTTTTTTTTTTTGTTTTTTTTTTTTTTTTTTTTTTTTTTTTTTTTTTTTTTTTTTTTTTTTTTTTTTTTCTTTTTTTTTTTTTTTTTTTTTTTTTGTACTTTTTTTTTTTTTTTTTTTTTTTTTTTTGTTGTATATGCATATATGCATATACATACATACATACTTTACTGAATCTGATCCCAATAACAGACAAGTATCAAATAAACAAAAAACCCCATATAAGTAGATTTATTGACCTTCCCCCCCTAAATAAGTACTTAAGTTAAAACACAAAATATACTTGTTTAAAGCAAATTGATAAGCTTGTTTGTAATAAATAATTTTTTACAATTATAAGGCATCATTAATTTCCTTTCTGTAAAAGCTGCCAAACTTTGCTGAGGTGGTTGTGCTAAAGGTACGCAGGTACCACAAAATCTGTTTTACACATTTCATTTTAATCAAGACTCATTCAATATATCTAACACAAAAACTGGTGGTCAACTTTTACTGAATTTATTCCTATGGACAAAAAGACAGGTATAAAATTCAATTATTTGTGGCCTTTACAATACTTTACTTCATTTACAATACTGCCCATAAAAGTTTGGAGAATCACATGCATGCATGTTCAATAAAACTAATTAATAATCACACATTTCACAAAAAATTCAAGCAGTTTTTAAGATCTGGTGTGAACTATAAAAAACTGTTTATACGCATTTCTTAGGACTTGTATACTTACTTCAAACAATACATTTTAATAATAATATACTGTAATTCTCAAAAAGTAACATGTTTTAATCAGAACTGCTTTATTAACCTCCTTTAACATTGTAGATGTATTCAGACATAAACATTTTCAGACTTTCAGTTAAATTAAGATTTTCAACCCTTCCACAATTTATTTCCATTCAATTTTTGATCTTTTAAAAAAAATCAATTTTCTTATTCATTAATAAACAAAATAATCTAAGTCCCATTTGATAATAGTACTCTTTAGATCTCAAAATTTAAATATATATAAATATGCTAATACTTACATAAATAAATTTATTTATGTTTAAATTGCATGAAATTCTTGCACATACGATCAATCAATTACAGAGGTTCTCAACGGGGGACCGGGAGTGATGTAATCAGCCTTTTATTTATCTGTTAATTATTTAGTTTTAGTTTATGAATATAAAAAATACTTTTATTCAAATTTTTGGTATCTATCAATATCTTCTATACTTTTCCTTGATTAATTTATTAAACACATTAAAAAAAAAACTTAATTCATATAAAGTATTTTTCAATTTTTGGAAAAGAGGGAGGGAGAATGAACTTTCACAAATGGTAAAAGAAAAGCATGGGGCAAAAAAGGTTGAGAGCCACTGGTCAATTAGCAGTATCAGGCTTTTCTCTCCTTTAAACACTAAACTACATTTTCTCCCAGCTGCGAATGCATGCTCTTTTCCCAAAATGTTTTAATTAATACCACAATCTCCACATAATTAATAGCAACTTTAAAATGTTTAAATTTTTAGCATAATAAAAATTTTAGGTTCTCCCACATTATCCAAAAAAGCTGCAAAAATCACCTACTCGTACCCAATAGGTAACTTTTACCTTTTCACAAATAAAAAATCACCAAATTGTGCCAAGGTGATTGCGCTGATATGTAAAGTACCAAAGAAGACAGCATAATTTTTAAAAGTTATTGACAACTCAAAATACTTAAATCTGTTATAATAGTTCAAACACTTTATTGATATACAGCTAAGAATGCAATATTGATATTGCATTTTTAGCTGTATATGAATGAATGAGCTGTATATGAATGAATGCATATGAATTTAAATGAAAACTTAAATTTCTCTTTTGCTGAAAAATACATGAATAAGAATGTTTGGTTTAATACCAAATGATAAATTTTAATGTTATTCTTTGTACATTTAATCATAAAAGTTTTCTTTCAATTTTAAATGAATCACATGTAGCTTAGAGAATTACACAAAATTATTGCAATACAAAATTTTAGCTGCATTTTTCAAAATAAATAAAAGAAATTGAAAGAATTTCTATTCCTGAGGCCTATATATGACTATTAAAAAAACATATTTTGTTTCATATACCAACTTAACATATTACTGAACACAAAATTTGAACAACTATTTTGTTTGAACAAACTATACTAATTTGAACAACAAAATTTGAACAAACTATTGAACTAACTTCCAAAAGGATCAACTTGCAATGCTTCTCTATGTGATAATGATTCCTTTATGTCCTTCTTTTTTACACACTGTATTCCAAGATTTGCAAAACTAAAGGGGGAAAAAATAAGAGATTTTGCTACTGAAACAAAGTTTAAATAACTAATTACAGTTCCAGAAAAAGAAGTGGCTAAATTAAAATGCATGCAAGCAATAATACTGGCCTATACAAAGTGTTTTTTACCTTATATGTTTACTATATGCAAAACAGTTTTAAAAAAGAGAAAAAAGAAATACATGAATGTACAGAAATATAATTTATTTCTAAGTTAGATAATGCAAAAATAGAACACTTTAATTAGACTTATGATACTTATCCTTTTAATAGATAAATCTGTATTTTTCCATTAAAGATACAACATATTTTTAGCGTGCTTGTTATGGCCATTAAAATGTGCGCAGTGCTATTCAGACAGCAACAAGAAAATACTATCTAATTTCATGACATGACACAATTCTCCAGAAATTCCAATTCTCCAGAAAACCGTGGACAATAGCATGGCCTAATTTATTTTTTCTTTTTGTAAACAAGCATTTCACATTTCACTGCATTGATCGATTTTAACGTTAGGACAAAACAGCAAACAAATGGCACACTGCTATCTCACATAACTATTCCTATCAGAAATCATGCTGTGATTCATTATAGTACTGTTTATAAATAAATACAGTCAAAAGTCGTTAATTCGGACACCCATAATCCGGACCTCAAAGCTACAAACTTTCTGCGCATGCGCGTAAGACCTTTACGGCTGCGAATTTGCGTGTGCAAAATACATTTACGAATGCGCGTTTAATGTATAACGGACGGTATAAGCTAAGCTCTAATTATCTATTTCAGTTAATGTTGCAGATTGCGTTGTTCCTTAATCTTCGAATTGGATCCGGCTTATTATTTTTTGCAGACTGTTAGAGCAATTTTATAAAAGTAAGCTTGAACTTTCGATTATGTCAAATAGAATTTCCGATTTATATTTACTAATATGTAACGGATCTACAAAGTGAAAGTATGTTTCAGAGTCCATTAAACAAAAAGTGGAATTGCTCCAAAAAAATGGATAAAGGCATATCCTTTGTTTATCTAAACTTTAACGTTTGTTTATCTAAACTTTGTTTATCTTTAATGCTGCGGTGGGCGCGCAATGAATTGGAAGTTGATCTGTCAGCACTATCCTTATCTTCAGGGCAGATGTTTTTATTTTATTTGGCTTATAATTGCTTACTAAATGTAGTATTTCATTTCGATGTACTCTCTCCGTTTTTGATATGATTTAAAATCAATGCCTCGTCATTATAATTCGCTTCCGATAGCGAAGAAAGTGACAGAGGTTATTGAAAACGAAAAATTTCGATTGACAAATTAGTCGGTATTCTTGACACAGCAATTATAGGACTTGAACAGCGGAACTTTGTAACTGAAACAAGAAATTATGTCTGTTTATAGAATTAAAGAGAATGTATTATCGCATAAAAAACGAAGCAACTTAAAACACTTACATTGAAAGAAATGTTTAATAAAGTAAACAAATAATATTAAGCTTTTTTTTTTTTTTTTTTTTTTTTTTTTTTTTGTAAATTTTGATACACTTTAAATCATAATTGTTCTTTATTTCGTAAATTACGGTTTATTTTTAATTTTATAATTTCTTCATGCCATTTTACCAGATTTAAACTGATGCTCTATAATCCAGAAAAATCGATAATCCGGAATCACCGAAGTCCCGACGAGTCCGGATTAACGACTTTTGACTGTACCATTTTTAAATGTCTCAAATTTTTACACTGAAAGAGTAACAGCACTTTACAATTTGAAAGATATATTTACACAGCTCAGAATACCAACAAATTTACAGGGGTTGAATAAAAATATGGAAACACCTCATAAAACGCACGTTTGAATGAAATGTTCTATTTTTGCAAAAACTGTTGGTGGTGCTGATGTGTTTGCTCACTAATGCCATCCATACAACATTCTTAATACATTACAAATGTTATTCGTTATTGAGACACTGTTCTGTGCAGTTGTGAATGCGTCATGATGGAGCTAAATGAATTCAAATATGGATAAATTGGTGGAGCTCCTACGGTGAGTGCTCCCGTAACCAAGGTTAGCTGAGGCATTTGGTGTTTCAAGAAGCACACTATCTAAGATTTTTAACTTGTACAAAAAAAAGGGAAAAAAAACATTCGCTAAATTATCACACAGACGAAAATGTGTGTTGAGCGATCATAATAGATGATTGAAGATGACTATGATAAAAAAATAAGAGGACTACAGATGCAAAAGTGACTGCTGTACCAAATGTCACACTCACAAACTCTGTCAGCACCAAAAAAATACGAAGGGTGCTTCACAAGCAGGTATTTTTCGAGTGAGTTGCAATTAAAAAAAAAAAAGAAACAAGCCATCCATTAAGAGAAATGTAGAATAAAATAATATTATAGAGGCTCAGTTTATGATGGAAAAAAGGGCTTAAAATTTTTTGCTAGAAAACTTCAAAAGGAAACTTAAAGGGCAATAAAAACAGAATTCTTCAAGGGAAGAAAAATATAATTATAAATCAGGTAAATATTAAAAAATATGTATTTATAATGGCATGTCATAAACAATTAGACTGCATTAAAAATACTCCTTGTATAACAAATGTACTTACCAAATCTTATTTAGTATAACAAGATATGTACTTAAAATGACATGCCATATAAAATTAGAATGCACTAAAAACACTTCTTGTATAACAAATGTTTTATGTAACTTTCATATATAGTGGAACTTACTAAGACAGCAGACCATTAAATTTTGTCTTCTATAGAAAAATGGTTGCCTATTATAGTCAATAAAGATGTTTATTATTAGAAAACAGTGAGCTTTTTCTAAAATAGTTGCTTATGGGTGGTGGTCATCATGAGAAGTTTCATTATATTCCTAATACAGCACTAAATTTTACACAAGCTATCTGATAATTTTTAAAACTATGAATGAAAAATTAATATCGAGGCACTATCATTATTTCCTAACAGTATTACAAAATCAATTGTACAATGCATTCAAGGAAATGCTCTTACTTGCAAATCATATCAGGATTAGTAATAGGTTTATAGCACACACCATTTGTACATGTTTTGCCTACAAGATTATGAGGATGAGGATAATATGGTGGGCCATCTTTGGTAACACAAGATACTACCACACCTGCAGCTCCTTGGAAACCATGTACCTTAAACAAAAAAAAAAAGAAAAGAAAAATAAAATAACTTTCAGTACCGGAGCATTAATTTTTTTGGTACTTACGGAAATTCGCATCGACCACAACAGACGGCACCAATCGTGCCAAACCAAAAAAAAACATTTACTAAACACAATAAAAAAATTTCTGTTCTTATTTTTCTTTCAAATTTATTATACTATCATATATTTAGATTTAATTTTTCATTAAAAAGTTCCATTATTTTTACTAAGGAGATATACTGTAAAAGCAATTATTTTCGCAAGGCCCATTTCGTGGCCACTGACACATTTTTTTTAGGCCAGTAAGATTCCATAACTTTGGAAATATTCAACAGCATGCTCTTCTGTAGTAGGCAGATCCCAAATTTTAATTTTTTTTTTTTTTTTTTTCCTCAAAAATTCGTGATAGAGGGGGTAAAAGGAGTCTTTACTCAAGAATAATAACTAACACGTGTAATCAAGGTTACACAAAACCCAGCATGTTTGAAGAAAACTTTTTAATTTTTGGCAAATATCGTGTAGTTTGGCATCTTTTCTTTAATAGGCAAAAATGGTCGATGGGATTTTCCACAAGTACCATTTTTTTATACTACAAAAATTAATAAATATTACTTCCTTTAAACATAAATAAGAAAAAAAGAAAAAAAAAAGAAAGAAAGAATGGTATATTCTAAATGTAACCTATCAAATACCAAACCACTATCCAAAGAATGTATTTATAAAATACTTTTTAATATTTTTATTTCAGATTCATGACAAAGTAAGACAAAAATAAAAAGCAAATTATACATTTTTATGCTAAAGTAATTTTCATCAATACTGACAACATACTAGGGGTGGGCAAAAGCCAGCCCTAATATGGTCCTTCCAATTTCTTAATCTGGCCTGTTATGAAATCCTGTGCAACAACATTTTCATCTCTTTCCCAACAGATTTTGTACACAAACTACAGAAATCAGCCGCATGAGTGCGCATCAGATGTTACAGTGCATATTTATGCACGCATGCTAGAATGCTATATACTAGCAGTGTATCTCAACCTAAGCTGAGAAAGCTAAGTATGTGCATCCACCAAAATCATTTTTTTAGTAGCTTTAATTTAAAAATTAAATAATGAAATGTGAATATTGTTGAGACAAATAGGAAACTTGGAGAAAGAGCCTCTAACCCTTCAATTCTTTCCATACTTGCCTGCCTCTATAACCTAAGGTTACATTTAGCCTCCTTTCCGAATGCGCGTTACAGATAGGTTTGGCGTTTTATTTGATTATGGCAAAGCAAACGAGAGATATATTAAGTTTTAATTTTCAGAATTTGTTAAGTCACCAGCTCGAGCAGCTTACTACTCATTTGCCCCCTTCTGATGCATCATGACTTTCAAAATTTTCCACACTTCATTTTTGACTTTGCATAATTTAAAATTATTTTGTTTAACGTAGTTTAGAAAAACATAAATTACCTTTACATATAAGTTCCTTGATTAATATAGCACGGATTAGGAAAGTAAAAATTTGTTCAATTATATAGGTAAGGTCTTTGACCTAGGAACCCTGGTAATACACCACACCAACCATTAGAAACAAGAGATAAAAGAATGTCTTTGTGAAGATTTCTTAATAGAAGCTGGCTCATATCCACATTATACATGGTTAAAATCCCAAAATTGCTCAGGCCTGGATTCAAACCCAGGTAGAACTACCAGAGTTCTGCAACTTTACTGCTTGACTACAGGAGGTGGCTGTGTGTCATAGATTTTGAAATAATTTTAAAAAAATACATAAAGTACCTAAAACAAATTCAAAAATAAATACTGCCGCTGGTGGGCTAAGAGTTAAATAGCAACTATTTTAACAAAATTAAAAACACAAGAAACATGCTTAATAAAGCCCTAGCCTGCCCCCCCCCTTTTTTTTCTTTGAGCTGTTCTTCCCATGTATGTATACAGCAATCTGTTTTAGCTTAAAATAGCATTGCAGAATTGCAGAAGCTCAACAAAGCACAAAACGTGTTATTGGCCAGACTGTTGTTTTTTCCATATACACAGTAATCAGTTTTCACTTAAAAAAAATCACAGAACTTCATAATTTTGGCATTGCACATGCCGTTGTTTTCCTGTGCACACAGCAATCTTAGGGAAATGCACAAATTTTCTATAAGTTCTATAAAGTTTGATGGTTTCTTAAATGCAACTATATGGAATGAGAATTTCTGCACACTCTACTGTTACACAAAACCTCATGTTTCTGAAGAAATGCACCACTTTATTTTTTATCAACCACTAAATTCTACAATTCTTACACAGAAAAAAAATTCATTCAATGCAATAAAAAAAACTAATCACCATCAAATTTGAATGTGGAAATTGATTTTTGTCTGCTGCGCATGTGCACATATTTGGGTTGCCACAAAAATACACTTTGGGGACATCATAGGTTGCCTATTTCGGTGACATAATACAATGTATCATGAACGCATTTTAGAGAGGGATGTAGTTCATCAGATTACTGAAAATAGATTATTCAAATGTCTTCTTCAAACAGGATATCTTTAAAACTAAGAGCAAAAGAAAAATCAGGTTATATTTTTTAATACAACATACATAACATACATACTTTAATTGTTGGATATGTTTTCTGTTTATCTGTACTGTTAACACCTCGGATACAACCTGCAGAACGTCCTTCACATTTGTATCTAAATCTAGCACCAATAGATACTGGCTGTTCAATAATTTCTACATATGGGCGTTGAGTTCTATTCATAATTACTTGAGATTCAGAAATATCATTATTATATGGCAATCTTCCTAAAAACAAAAGAACAGAAAATTAAAAAATTATAATGATGATAAAAAATATTTTAGCCTTTTTCTTTTTTTTTTTTTTTTTTTCCACATGTATACAGAAACAGATAAAATAACAGACAGAATAATAGATATTCGCAAACAAAACACCTTCACTAATTCATTACTGAATCATATTTCGATAAAAAAAATTTTAACTTTTTCATAATTTTCACACAGTATCTAAGCCAGCATTAACCAAACTTTTTTCAGGTGGGGACCACTTTTAAAAATTAGAATGTTCTGTGGACCACCTTATTCCTGTCTCCTTCAAAAGCAGTTTTTTCAGCATATGTTATAACCAGTATACTTGCATTTAAAAAATAATAATAAATACATATTAGTATTCACATGAGATGGATAAGCCTGTTAATTCCTGCATAGCTGTTCTAGTTTGGCTATATGATGGTAATAAGCATTATAGTCATGGTGCTTGAGATCCCTCTTTCATTACTAGAGTAGCAAGTCCATAGATAAGGTAATCGATAATAAAATTTCATAAAATGTCACTCTTGAGAGAAAACATGATAGATAATTGCTATGTGAAATTTCCAAACTCTTAAGATATTTAGCTATAAGGTGGTATATGCAATTAATGCAAATTTTATTTTTTGTCTTTTTTAGAAATCTAGGAGAGCTGGTAATAAGCATTACAGTCATGGTGCTTGAGATCCCTCTTTCATTACTAAGTCTAGAGTAGCAAGTCCATAGATAAGGTAATCGACAATAAAATTTCATAAAATGTCACTCTTGGGAGAAAACATGATAGATGATTGCTATGTGAAATTTCCAAACTCTATTTAGCTATAACGTGGTATATGCAATTAATATGAATTTTATTTTTTGTCTTTCTTAGAAATCTAGGAGAATCATAAGGATAAGTTTTGCGGACCACCTGTGATCCGTGAATCACAGACTGAAAAATGCTGATCTAAACTGCTAATCTGATGGCCATTAAAACTGATACAAAAAAACATACAGCAAATCTGAAATTCAGCTGAAATGTACAGCATGGTAAACCACACAAACAGAAATGCAGCCACATGTATAATCATAGACACGAATAACACTACCTAAAAGCAGAAGGTCGAAAAAAAAATTTTTTTTCAAATAAAAAAAAAATCAGACTTTTTTTTAAAGTTTATATCAGAATTTTTTTATATTAACTTATTCCTATATTAAATGACTACCATGCATTGAAAGTTTCCAAAATTTTTAAATCTCTAATCAGATATTAAGAAGAAGAGTACATATTTTTACAAGTAAATTAATACAATTAATAATTAGAGATAATACTAATTATGCATAATCATATTAATTAGTAGTATAAAAAACAATAAAATATCTTGGTAGCTTTTTGTATTGTAACTTGTAAAGACACTTCAATCATTTACATACAGATTTGCATGTATATATATATTATGGGAGTGATTAGGTTATGTGAACATGGCAAAGCACTAAAAAAGCTATCTGCCGAAAGGCATATATATCTGTGGACTGCTCCACTAATCTTTCATTGTACCGGCAGGGATCCGTATTCTAGCAGTCAAGGCTCCAAGGCATAATGAGTCCAGTGGTTCCCCGTGGAGAAAGTTTTTATTCCAACTTTGTGGGTAAGGGATCCCAATTTGTGGCGAATTGGATTTATCCCAACTTTTTGCAGGTCAAGTGGTGATAAATCCTCAGCTCGGTGATACTAGTAGTCAGGCCCGGATCGATTAGGTGTGGGCCCGAACGCATTTTTTTTTAGGGGGGCGCCCTCTCTATATATTAAATATTTAAATAAAATTCAAATTCAGTAATATATATATATAAATATATCAAATGTAATCAGACAGATAATCTTCTACATACATTAAAAAATAAAAATGTTCAAAATACAAAAACAATTAGTGAATACAAATTTACATCACCGAATATGAATACATGAATTTACATATTTCGAAGTTTTTGTTCTGTAAATTTCTTTAAATTGTTTGAAAATCTAATTTCCTTGAGTCTTCACTTTCAATCGACATATTTGCTAAACTATTTAATCTATCCTGATTCATTGTCGATCTCATAGTTTTTTATTAATTTTAGCCTGGAAAATGATCTCTCTCCAGAAGCAATGTTTACTGGAATTGTTAAGAATATTCGGAGAGCAATAAACAAGTTTGGAAATGCCGTTGCTCTATCATTATCTGAGATTTCAAAGCTTCAACAAACATTTTTCCATCTATATCAGCTTATTTCACCTTTGGTACATCATTTTCTGTTAACTTAGAATCTGTTAGAGAAATTTCTAATTCAGCTGCATGTTTTTGAAGTACTTCTTTTTCAATATTTTGAAATTTTCCCAGAAACCCAAATAATTCATTATGATTTTTTAATTATTCAATACGATCTTTTAGTGATTCTGTAGCTTTATCTAAACAACATTAAAAAACGATACCTTGTATGCATTTATCGGGTCTTCAATATTTTCATCATCGCCCTCATAACTGAAATGTTTCTTTCTTTTCTGAAGCCTTTTATTTTGAAATTCTGTTGATACTTCCAAATCTTCTACAAGAGTTTTTGCCTGAACTAAAACTTGTTCGAATCCAGTATTTCTGTAGTTGCTTAACCATTTTAAAAGTTTTTCAAATGAAGAAAGTGCAATGGATATGTCTACAGATTCACTTTAAAGTTCCTTGCTACATAATTGACTTGAAACAGTAAATCATGCCCAAAAACCAGTGATGCTTAATTTCCTTAATATTGCACTTAATTTCCTTTTTATACTACCACTTTTATATTTTCTTCCCACATTTATTTCTCATTTCAGTGAATTCGACATCTAATGATAAAATTATAGGTTAGGTATCCATTTTTAATCACAATATACTTAAATTTTAATTTTTAAAAAAATTGTTTGAAAGATTATGTAATTATCCTTGCGTACTTCACTTTGACGTAATTGCTAAACTATTGTATCACAAAGTACATGACTGTAATAATTGTAACGATTAGAAGAAATAGCGAACTGCAAATGCAAGAAACAATTGGCATTTGATACTAGCTATACATCCACCACTGGCTGGTACGGTTGTGCAATTAGTTGCGCGTGCATATACCTATATAGTAGTTTACATACGTAAAGTAGTTCACGTGCGTAGTGCAAAATCTCTCTAGTATAGGACTATCCCGATTAAATTCAATACATTTGACATGAACTTTTATGGGTATCAGTTTTCTATATTATAAAGTATATATTATATAATAATAAACACATTAATAAATCTCATTCAGCAATGCGAACTTAAAATATATATATTTTTAATTATTTGAATAATTCATAATTTATCCATTATCGTCAAACGCAATTTGCTTTAAATTTCATTTTTTTTTTGGGGGGTTCATTTTGATGGTAACGCAGGGCCCTTTCAAATGTGGGGCCCAATTGGACCTAATCGCCCTTTATCTGGCCCTGCCAGTAGTGGTACAGGCCATTAGATCTGTATTCTGGAATAAATCCCCAGTGCTGGGCAGCCCGCATAATTCTGGTAAGTAGTATTAAGGGCAGTCAAATTTCCAGGTGAATAGGGCTGCACCCTGCCATGGCCTCTGGGAACCAGGAGTGGTGATCCTGTCAGCCCAGTTAGCACTATGGCTTAGAACTTTATTAAAATTTATAAGAATCTGGTGTGAGACCTGGTTACTCAGCAAAAGGAGCATTTATGATCTCCAAGGTGCCTTTTTGGCTGGACTACCAACCCTTGCAAACATAGGGGCCTGGTGGGACTCCTGTCCATGTAGTTGCATTTAGTTGCAGGAATATGTAAATATACTGATTGATACCTTTGTGGTGGACTTTCTAAGGAAAATTAGCTTATATTTATATAACACATGAGGGAAAACCCCCAAAAACATCTATACGACCAGCCTGTTCACCTGAGATTAAAAATGGGATGAACTTCCAGCATTCAGGAATCTTGAACTATTCAACCACTGGTGGGACTGCTAAAGAAGGTTGCTAACTCTCACGGTTATATTTTTACACAAACAGAAATAAATAATCGGTATAAATGTAACCATAGAAACTGCACTTATATCTGTAATCTACAAAATTTTCTGAAAAGAGTTATCAAACTATAAATTACATACTGCACAGTAAATAAATACATATTGTTACGAAATGTACAGGAGTGGTAAGATGGCTTCCCCACAATGCAGTTTTTAGGGCTGCCATAAAATGGCAAGGGAAAGAAGGGTTGCCGCATTTGGCGACAAAATTGGCAATATACCATGGACAGTTGGAGAACCTTCTGGAACGAATTCTTACCGGTTTAGCCCAGAATGTTCTCAAACACAAGCCGGAAGCTATATAAACCCTGCTGGTCCGCAGTCAGAGAGTGTGCCTCGTCAGGAGGGTGAGTTAGAGTGCCTCGTCTAGAGTGTTAGTCGAGATAGTTAGTATCGATTTGGTGTCTCTGACTAGCAAGTCGATCCCTGCGGAGTGAATCGAGTTCACAGCTGGGCAGCAAGTGCCGAGTGGGTCGTCGAGTGCACCGAAAGAGTCATAGTCTATCGCCGTTGGTGCATCGTCAAGAGAGCATGTTGAGCTCTGGGAACAACTGAACCGAAGAGTCAAGAGCTGTGCTCTGTGTGTCGTCGAGTGCACGCGAGTTGTAGCGTGGAGAGTCTTGAGAGTACGTGGAGTTCCGAGAACGACCAAGCAGAGTTGGGAGCTGCACTCAGGTGCTTTGCGGTGAAGCTGTCTCCACTGTTATTGCCTGACAGTGTGAAGGCTGTGTCACTGAACGTGTCACCTTGTTTATAACAGTTCGACAACTGTAAAAGTGATTTTGGAAGCATCTGATTAATACTGGTAAATAAAAGTGTGTTTCAATACTTCATCAAGTATCGTCGTTATTCACTCCAAATCTACGAACCCTGTAGAAACGTGAAGGAAGAAAATAACATAACAACTGGTGTCAGAAGCAGAGAAAAATGCAACAATATTATATTTATATTATCAACATTTGCATTCTGTGATTTGAACAAAAAGGCATGTTTTTCCGCCTTTTCAACCACAGGCATGTCCGCCTTTTCAACAACTGACTTTTTTTTTTTTAATTTGTTGTATAGAAAAGAATATTTCAGTTTCTGCTGATGAATATCTCATTGGTGCACCGCATGACATTCATCAGCACATGGATAACATTTCAATAACATCTAGTTCTTTTTCCATTATGCATTCTTTCAACAGCTACTGATTTCTATTACTGAAATAACTCGATAACTTTACAGCCTCATTTTTGTTCTCCAGAAAAGTCTAACACGAATTATACTTTTTAATGCAATGCTGAGCAAAGCAGTTTCCTGCATATTTTTCTTTTACTAATTTTAATCCATATTCCTTTTCAGCTGCTAATAAGGCTTTTAATATTTTGGTAATATGTGCTAGAAAATCTAATGGTAACAGTACTAGATCATATCATGTTTTAAATAATTTAAGCATGCTTTATGAAGACTTTTTACACTGGTTTCAATGTCTTTTCAAACTTCAACACCTTTAGCAATTCGTAGTTACCTTTTTAGATGTTATTTAAATTAACACATGAAACTGACTTACAATAAAGTTTTCTATATTTAATTTGATCACCATATTAAGAACATTTAATTAAATATCCTTGTCTATTACATCTCAATCTTTCTTCTACAGATTGCATGAAAATCAGCCAGTTCTTCATACAGCATACTGAGTTCCAATAAACTTCAGATGGCAAATTTAAACAATTTTTGTTGCATTTATTACATCTGGAAAAAACAACCTAGCTATTTTGAAAATATTTTGCCTTGAATAACATGCTCAGTAACATTTCATATACAGTCAAAAGTCGTTAATCCGGACTCGTCGGGATTTCGGTGATTCCGGATTATCGATTTTTCTGGATTATAGAGCATCAGTTTAAATCTGGTAAAATGGCATGAAGAAATTATAAAATTAAAAATATGAAACCGTAATTTACGAAATAAAGAACAATTATGATTTAAAGTGTATCAAAATTTACAAAAAAAAAAGCTTAATATTTATTTGTTTACTTTATTAAACATTTCTTTCAATGTAAGTTTTTTAAGTTGCTTCGTTTTTTATGTGATAATACATTCTTTTTAATTCGATAAACAGACATAATTTCTTGTTCAGTTACAAAGTTCTGCTGTTCGTCCTATAATTGCTGTGTTGAGAATACCGACTAATTTGTCAATCGAAATTTTTTCGTTTTCAATAACCTCTGTCACTTTCTTCGCTATCGGAAGCGAATTATAATGACGAGGCATTTGATTTAAATCATATCAAAAACGGAGTACATCGAAATGAAATACTACATTTAGTAAGCAATTATAAGCCAAATAAAATAAAAACATCTGCCCTGAAGATAAGGATAGTGCTGACAGATCAACTTCCAATTCATTGCGCGCCCACCGCGGTGTTAAAGATAAACAAATGTTAAAGTTTAGATAAACAAAGAATATGCCTTTATCCATTTTTTGGAGCAATTCCACTTTTTGTTTAATGGACTCCGAAACATACTTTTGTTTTGTAGATCTGTTACATATTAGTAAATATAAAATCGGAAATTCTATTTGACATAATCGAAAGTTCAAGCTTACTTTTATAAAATTGCTCTAACGGTCTGCAAAAAATAATAAGCCGGATCCAATTGAAAGATTAAGGAACAACGCATTCTGCAACATTAACTGAAATAGATAATTAGAGCTTAGCTTATACCGTCCATTATACATTAAACGCGCATTCGTAAACGTATTTTGCGCATGCGCACACGCAAATTCGCAGCTGTAAAGGTCTTACACGCATGTGTCAACGCGACGCATGCGCAGAAAGTTTGTAGCTTTGAGGTCCAGATTATGGGTGTCCGAATTAACGACTTTTGACTGTATTTAATTCTTTGGCCAATAAACTAAGTATACCTGGGGAACAGTTATAAGATATAAACTGAAAATTGGTTTATAATTCTTTTCTTATTTTCATTATATTTTGCAGCATTATCGGTTACAAAACTATGAATTTTGAAGTTACACTTGTTTCAACCTCATTATTGGCATCAACAGGAAGGATAAATAAAATTTCACTCATTACATGACATTAACATGATTACATACCATTACATGATTTAGGAAATGAGTTATTTCTACACTATAATATCATAAATCTATAGTCATAAATCTATAAAAAAATCATAAATCTATTAAAAAATGGTACTTCATATTAATGCAACCACCACCTTGACACAGTTTGGGAATTTTTTACAAAAGGAAAAGAATTATGTCTTATAATTTCAAAATATTATTTACTTTTTATTCTGAACATGCATTTTTTACTTTAGTATTTATCTGAAAATTAATCAACAACTTACAAGCAGAATTTTGTTTCTTTTTATCTGTCATAAATTTCATAGCAATCATTTCAACAGATTCATATTTATTGTTTCCTTTATTCATCTGACAATAAAATATTGTATTACTGCAGAAAATTTACTGCAGTTTCCTCCACTGCAAGCAAATTTCACAAGTGCATACCTTAGAATTATGTTTAAGACAAAAAATGTCAAAATTTCCTACAAAAAGAGTTAAAATGCAACATCAATTTGAAAATAAAAGAATTGTTATGCACATGGTTGCCGGAGTTGACGAATTCTGAAAATTTGGCAATTCTTATCAAGGTGGTTGTGTTAATACATTAAGTGCAAAAAATTTACCCATTTTATGATCTGTTTTAGACTTTTGGAAAAAGGGATTTTTTTAATAAGACTAGACGGACATTGAAATAACACATGCACTTGCAGCATACTGACATGGTTTGTTTAAAATATTTTAAACAATTTGACTTCTCAGATTTTTTTTGGGGGGAGGGGTATTCAGTAACTAAAATGACTATAAAAGCATTACAGATTATCTTAATCATTGATCTTACAACATTGCCCATTATTTAAAAAAGACAGAATTTCTGATTTATGTCAATGATTTAAAAAAAAAACACTACCTAACCAAATAAAACGAAAACTAAAATTAAACTCAGTGGCTCAAACAGCCCTAATGGGCCAAGGCTTGTAGTGCCCCGAAATCCGCATTCTTGACCGTGGGCCCCGGGGTGCATAAGCATATGCCCTGAACAAGTGGTCAACTTGGGTAGCAGGCCCCCCAGTGTTTAGTCCCCAAGTGAACTTGGGTCTCCAAGGAACCCATCCCTTGGGTCATTTTATTGACCCAAGGGATGGAAATCAAGGGATGAAAGGCTGAGTCGACCTTGCCCAACCCGGGATTCGAACCCCAGACTTGTGGTGCTGCTGCGCGATGCGCTAGTCACTGTGCCACCGGGCCTCACCAAATAAAATGAATCATTGAAAAAATTTTTGTATTTAAAAGACAGCCAATTAGCATAATTCTGTGTCATTTAGAATTCCACAGGATTGGATATTGGTAAATCATTACCGCAGAGATTGACTGTCAACAGGATAATATGCAAGTGACAAAATAATTTTTTTAAACTAGCTAAATGTTTTAAGTTATAGAGTTAGCTATATTACATTATTTAGACTTAGTACTTGCTTCTAATGCCGTGTAAATTAATATGCAATACCAGAATTTTCTTAAAGGCTGTTTATTTGTCTGTTTGTTTATATGTATTATAAATTGTTTTTTCTTTTTTATATGAGAAAAAAATTTTAAAGCAAAAAAGTAAGTTATTAAACAGAAAATACCAAATCAATGACCAAAACTTAGTTATTAACTTTGCATTCACTTTAGCAAGTAGCAAAGAGAAAATAAAACACACAGTAAGATCTAAAATTCATTTCTCACAGTTAATTTAATCTTAACTTACCAACCAACTGAGGCGATGAGGGATGGGTTATTGTACCTACTGCAGAATACATGACAATCTGTCAAAATTAAACATAAATTTAACTATTGATGGAGACGTCAAATCATATATTTTATTTCAACTTAATAATACATTATTAAGTTTAAATGTAGTAATTTATCAGGCATCACACTTGTTATTCAATAGGTTAGTGACATTTAAAATACAAATAAAAATCATTTTTAGACTATAAATGTCACTTAAAAATATAAATAATAAATTAATACATTGATGCAATAAATTATTCTGAACAAATTTTCCTAAACTTTATTTATTCAAAAATAGGGTAAAGACCCCTCTTATATTCCATGATTAATTTTAAAAAATAAAAATATAAGTGAATATTTAATAAAGGCTTGGTTCAGATTAGAGCGAAATTTTACTATGATAAGAGAGAAAATCAGAAAAAGGAATGATACATTATTGCATTATTTATTTTTAGGCATAATAATAACTAATATTGTAAAAGCAAGTCCAAACTGAAACCGCTCAACAGACAATTATATAATTAGTGGTAATTATGCATTTTATATGTATGGTAAATATCTATATGGTTTATTTAACATTTGAACAATGTAATTATTCTATAAAGTATGACAAGTATACTTTCTCCTCTCATTTTGCAATTTTATTTACTGAAATACCTGATTATAAGACATAGCAAATTTTAGAACAAAAATATACAGTAAGAAAAGGGACATCTTATATAAAGTGAGACCGAAAAGTAAGGTGACTGAGGTCATAATAATAACTGTATTTACATATAAATACATCACTGTTCTTCAAAGTAGTTCCCGCTGTCTACAATATACTTCTGACAACATTCATACAAGTTCTGGAAACTTGAAAAGTCCTCCTTTGAGACTGTGCTAAGTCCCATGGTAACAGCAGCTTGAATGTCTGAAATGCTTGAAAATCAGTGTCCCTTTAGTGCCAATTTCAGTTGTGGAAAGAGGAAAATGTTTACGGAGTTATTTCACCCTCCTTATTCCCCTGATCTTGCACCAGCAGACTTTTTCCTCTTTCCACGACTGAAATTGGCATTAAAGGGATACTGATTTTCAAGAATCTCAGACATTCAAGCTGCTGTTACCAAGGAACTTAACACAGTCTCAAAGGAGGACTTTTTCAAAAGTTTCCAGAACTTGTATGAACGTTGTCAGCAGTGTATTGCAGACAGAGGAAACTACTTTGAAGGACAGTGTAGTTATATGTAAATATATAATACAGTTAATATTATGACATCAGTCACCCTTACTTTTCGCTCTCACCTTGTAATAGAGTTACTATGATATTTAATTTATTTAGAAACTGATTCGCTTTTCACTTCACTTATACATTAATTTCAATACCCTGGAATTACCTGCACACATTTTAAGTTAACATAACAGTGTAGTGCTGTCTTGTGTACAGGTATAATAAGAGTTATGTGGCATCCCACAAGCATATCAGGCCATATCACTCTTGACAGAGCTGTTGATAAGTGCCCAAACACTACAAAAATCGGGAGATATTAAAAACCTGTTTACGAAAAATAATCAAAAAAAATTAATAGTGATATTAATAAACTGACATCTGAACTACATCATGGAAATATTTTACTGCTTAGAATATTTGATTAATTATGAATATAAATATTGCAACAGGTTTATGGAATTTTGATTTGTTTCATGAAATATTTGGTGTCACAAATGATAAGATACTAATGTATCATTTCAAAAATTCCTGAATTATTAGAAATAGACCAATCTGTTCCTTAAATAATAATCATAATAATATTAATAATAATAGTCATTTGTAATAGCATAGTCGCATAATAGTAATTTGATTACCTTTGAAATAGCTGTATTTCTACCAATTAGCTTGATAACATCATTTAAGATTCTTTATGAGGCACACATTAATAAACAAACTACTCTTTATTTAGAAACCAACTTGTATACAGTATAGTGATTATTCATATTAATGGTGCATATGTGAAAGTTGCTTTCTGCAAAAGATTCATATTCACGAGATCATTAAAGTGGATCCACAAGAATTCTACGAGCTGAATGACAATTTTACTGCACAGATAAAAGATAAGGAAACTTTCTATTCCAAAATCTCAATAATGAAGCTATATTTCATAAAACTAAGTTTTTAGTATAACTACCTATTCTTCTCAAAGTACTGTAATAATGATTACATGACATAATGCAAACTTCTTAGTAGAAGTTGCCAGGTTTTCAAAATGCACCCAATTCTGGTAACAATGCAAACAATTCTCTAGTCCTAACATGCAATGTTACACTTCTCATACATATTCTTTTTGATGTATTTCCAAGGGAAGAAATTATAATAAGATTTCTGCAGGAATATAGTATTTTGCCATAAAATGGTGAAGGGAATTATTGCTTTGAATGTATTCCTAGAGATATTGCCACAGAATTTCTCTCAGAAGGAAAAAAAAAAGGTTACTTGTAAATAGATTTAGCAGTCATTTTTGGGGATAAATACCTGATTAAAACATTAAATATGTATGAATGTAATAATTCGGTAAAAGTATTAATTTATTTATTTATTATTATTATTTATATATACTCCTTGGCAAAAATTGGCGATTTGGGGTGGTACATGGATACCAAGTTTGTGCAGTTCCTTGACTTGTTACTTTATCTTTGTGTAGTGGCGATTTTAGTGCTAAAAATCGCCGCTACATAAAGACAAAATAACAAGTCAAAGAACTGCACAAACTCGGCATCCATGTGCATACTGACCTATTTTCACTTTAAAAAAAAAAAAAAAAAATCACAGAATTGCCCAAACTAGGCTTGGAGTACTTCCCTTGACTTTATCCATGTGCCCGTCGACCTATTTTCACTTAAAAAAACATCAGAGAATTGCACAAACTTGTGATTGCAAACTCCCTTGACTTTGTACACATCGATATACTATTTTCACTTAAAAAGTCAAAAGAGCACCTAATTCTAGGTAAAAGTATATTTACGGAACATTCAACCCTCAGGTTACCACAAATGAAACAACAACTTGACGATAAATGAAACAACAACTTGACGATAAATGAAACAACTGCATGAATAAATATTTAACTAGAAATGTATGTAGGGTTCGTGCACATGGAAATTAAGGACTTTTAAGGCCCATTAATGAAAAAAATTAAGGACCTATCAGCAAATGGGAGCTGAATAAATTCAATTAAATTCAATCAACTTATGTTTGAAACTCACTTTTGTAATAACACTCTAAAAATAAAATAGATCCTTTCTTATTAAACATAATTTAATAAACATAACTATAAAGCAAATATAAGAATAAAATCCACTTTATAAAATTTATCAGGTAGCATTAAATATTTTAGTATAATAGTTGGAAATATTTTAAAGAAGATAAGTGGCATTTTATTTATGTTTTACTAACAGTTAGCTTTATGTTGATTTTTTTCTTTTATGTCTCATTTTGCCATGTACTTAGCGTATGCCATAGATTAAAATGAGAATAAAATCACAATCAGCATGATTCGTAACAGAAGACTGGCTGTTGCAGTGCTGCTGGTTTACAAGAGAGAGTCCTGTTAGTCAGAACAAACCTGAAAGCCTGATGTAAGCACGGCTGACAAGTTTTGAAAGTTAGTTCTGCTCCGTCTGTCTAAAGCAGTTAGTGTTGTAGCTTTAAGTAAAATTTCTGGGACTGTAACCCAGCATTATATTTTAAGTCTCACTAGATGCAAAGAATAAGTTTTAAATGAATATTTACATTTTTTTGTTTCATCTTGTGACCACGGTAATGATTAATGAAAGGCAATAGCTTGCTTTTAAAGGTGAGCAGTTAGTTACAAAAAATTAAATTAGGTAGTTAAATACTCTTAGTCATTATAGATTTACATGACCACTATTAATTTCAGTTACTTTTTAAAACATTTGTTAAAAAATCACTATTAAAATCACAATCTAATAACATTTCACAGTTTAAAATGCATGTATTTTAAGATATTGATTCTTAAACACTATTAGGAAATTACACAATAAAAGCTACACAACAAAATATTTATGTGTCTTTTTAATTTGAAGCCTTCCCAGGTAATTTGGTTTAATTTATATAACATTTCTTCTCTTTAAACATCTTTTCTAGCAATTAGAAATCTGTCTCAATACACAAACCAATGTTTCCACTAGTTTCTGCGTGCTTTATCTCCTGACTTGCCAGTCTCTTAACAGTGTATCTAACAAAGTTTTACTTGATTTGGTGAAAGTTAATAGTCCAAAACCTCCGATAGACATGAAGCAAATTATCACCATGTCTAAAAGTAACTACAAAGTCACATAAAGGTTTAAGCAAACCTCTTATTTAAAAAGAACTTGGAACATATAGGCCCGTTCTAATATTGATAAAATCAACTACAGTTTGGGGTGATGCAATTAAACAGGAACAGTCAAATTCAAACTAAGAATGTGGATTAGTAGTCAAAGACTATACAGTCAAAAGTCTTTAATCCAAATGTCCATAATCCGGAATGATCTATAATCCGGACCTCAAAGCTACAAACTTTCTGCGCATGCGCATAATACGTTTACGCATGTGCATTTAATATATAACAGACGGTATAAGCTAAGCTAAAATTATCTAATTGTCTATTTCAGTTAATGTTGCAGATTGCATTGTACCTTAATCTTCTAATTGGATCTGGCTTATTATTTTTTTCAGACTGTTAGAGCAATTTTATAAACATAAGCTTGAACTTTCGATTATGTCAAAAAGAATTTCCCATTCTGGAGCTACCAAAGGATCTACAAAGCGAAAGCATGTTTTGATGTCCATCAACCAAAAAGTGAAAATGCTGCAAAAAATGGATAAAAGCATATCCTTTGATTCTCTAATCATTCTGAAATATGTTTATCAATTTCCTGCTGCTCTGCGGCCCGGTGGGGGATGCGGCGCACAATTAACTGGAAGTTGATCTGTCAGCACTATCCTTATCTTCAGGGCAGATGTTTTTATTTTATTCGGCTTATAATTCCTTAC